AAATGATACATATTGCAAGTTTAAAGTAAGAACCTAATGAATAATGGCGAATCTTGTTGCTTAAGAATATTGTCTTCTGCATTAGGCAGGGTCAATTGACCTTCATCATACCCGTTATTTTTTGTTTTCTTTCCAAAAAAGATCTCTTATAACAATATATAAATAAATAAATAAATAACAACTCAACCTTTGCAGCACTTAAGGTGAGGTTTCATAGTTTGAAAGGGCACCACGCACTTAAATAAAGCCTTGAAAGACACATGTAAATCCTCCTTTCTTTAGCAGTTGTACAGTGAGTGAGGAAACCTAGGCCATGTGAAAAAGGAGTCATTGGCTGGTTCGTATTTCAATTTCAACAACTTATCAACATGCCCATTGGCTACAATGGCGCCATCTTAGGATATATTATGTGGTCCACGTGTGATTTTCAAGGACCATTAGCCAAAACGAAAAGACAAATTGCCCATCTCACCCCTATAACTATGAAATATTTCAATCTAAACATCCTCATCACCTTACATGTATGATGAGAAGATAGATGAGAAGATATAACTACAATCAAGTTCAGATTCGCATCTTGAATCGAGTCGATGACATCAGTTTTGTATCCAGAATTGAAAACTTGGTTTCGGTTTCAACTGGGCAATCCTAAAAATAAAGAGTGTTGTTGAATCTAAACTAAATTTGACTATTAATGTCTTCTTCTTCTTTTTTTCTTTTTTTTTCTTTCACTTGTTAATTGACATATGTATCTTATTTCGCATTTAATCAGTCACACAAAGTTATAATTTTACATATTTGCTTATATCGAATGGCGTCTCTAGTCTCTGCACTAATAATGAGAAGATGGAACTAAATCAAATTTAATATCGGATTGATGACACCTTTTTTCTGACAAGAATTGGGAACTTGGTTTCAGTTTCAACTATCAGATTTCAATAATAAGTAGTGTTGTTGAATCGCAACTGAATCTAACCATTAATTTCTTTGTTTTTTTCTTCTTCGTTCACATATGTTTATTTTTGTCATTTATATATATGAATAATATAATCAATAACATACATATAGTTATTTTTATAATTGAAAATCGTACAAAAATTATGAATCGTTTTTGTTTACATTCGGACGACGTCTCTAGTCTTTACTCTTGAGATGCTTGGATGAAAATAAAATCAAATTTTGATTCATATCTTGAATCAGGTCAACGGTACCAGCCTTGGAACCGGAATTGGAATGTCAATTTCAATTTTAGATTATGAGAGAGATCCGAAACATAAGGAATATTGTTGAATCAAAACTTAATATGGCTATTTATGTTTTTTGTTTTTCTTTTGTTCATACGCATATATTGACATTTATATATGAATCGTATAATCAATAGCGTATAGTTGTAATTGCTATTGAAAGTTGAAACGTATATTTGTCACGGAGTGCGCTAATAGTAGTACGAACTAAGACAAAAATTGTAAAATGCGGAAGCAATTAAACCGAAGATTAATAAACTCTTCAGGGAAACATCCCACTTCCCCTCAGAGCTCTTTCATTGATAGATCACTCATGAACATAGTTTGGTCTTACAAAGACTTGAACTCCCTTCAAATCTAGCCAACACTACTCTCGATCCTATCAACTAATTCTCCGGCCACGTCCCGTGGACTTATAAGACAACACTTACTCCCTAAGTGTATATACTGTAAAAGAGTTTTGATGAATGAATAAAAACTGAATCAAAGCAGCTTCAGTCCTTGAGTATGTAAGAACTCTCAGACTGAACTGAATACAACTTGAACAGAATATAAAACAAAGCTTTTAACTGCTCTGAGAAAATATCTCTCTTAACACATATGCGCACACCGGAAGCTTCTTCCAGGGTATATATATGAACTCCTTTTAGGGTTAGAGTCTTCTACAAGGCATAGGACTTTTAAACAAGATTTCCTTCCAAAGGTGTAGTATCTTTGGCAAGAAAATCTTCTACTCTCTCTCTTTGATCTCCTCACCATACACGGCTCTTCTCTTCCTCTTCTTTATCTCTTCGCGTCCAATTCCCTATATTATCCAAAACCATAATAAGATCTACACAGACTTATTCATGGAATATAAAATAAGATTACTTAAGGAAATATAATATGTAAAGATCTCCCCTTTATTCTGTGGTTCCAGGTGCTTGTTCGAACTAACGAACTAATGCCAAAATAAGATATCTTTCAAAAATCATTATGGAAAATTATGAATTAGGTAATATTATTAAGAAAAATAATCTTTAAAGTGAGAGCAGAACATAATCTTGCACAGTTTCCTCAATGATTTTGTATTGTGGAATTTGCCCAATTTGAATTCAAACCTCTCTTTCCATTTTGTAACTTTTCATTCTTAGAGCATGTACAATATTTTGAGCCTAATTATGCTTACATGACATATAAATAGACTTAAGTATTTGAAGACATGGACAAAAATATAAAAAAGTAAAAAAAAAAAAAAGTATCTCTAATGCAAAGAGACTGGTCTGTATTTGGGTGTAAAATAGACTCAAGCTAGACCGGGTCTCCTTTTTTTACTGTCAAAGCACTCACAGTGCTTTGAGTCTCTTTTTCTATATGTGGCAAATAAATAGACTTAAGTTTATAATGACATGTATAAACCTAAGCTAAAAAATTCAAAATCTATCCAGTGCAAAAACAAAAATTACTAGGTCTAGAATACCTAACAACCAATAAAAATATAATAATAGTAGATGATTACTACTATAAGGTTCACATTTGGGTCCAAAATAGACCCAAGAGTGAACCTAGTCTCTTTTTTTGATTGCCACATAAGTTAGACTAGGTTTACTTTTAATTGCATTGTGAAACACTTTTTTATAGACTATGTCTATTTCTTACATGGCATGTGATTTTTTGTTAAGAGACCCAAAGCATTGTAAGTGCTCTCACATCAGCAGGACCCAGTCATATTGCATTTGCATATTAGAGTATATATTTTTATAAACTGATCTATTTCCTATGTGGCCTGTATATTTTTTTAAAAAAACCGAAAACGTTGTCGGTGCTTTTAGAGAATAATGCATTTTTTTTCAAGTGAATAATTATTTTAGAAAAATGTGTGATATAGAATAAAATATAATAACAAAGCAATCATTAATCATATGATGTTAATTTTTTTAGATATAATTGATGTATAAGAATATATAATTGGATGAATAATACAGTTAAGTGGGAGAAAAATGATTGTCTGTTTATATATATATATAAACATATTTTAAAGGAAATTCTTTTACTAGTGGAAATTTATTTCATTTTAAAAAATGTAATCAACCCACCCACACACATTAGAGAGTTCCAAAAAATGAAAAGACCCAATAAATCAGGGGCTAAAAGTGCAAAAAGTTTCAACGTCTGAACACGATTCGGTTTAGCTGTACATTGGAGTCACTTTTAGCGCTACCCTTCCGACACTCGACACGTTGCACCTTCAGAAAAAGGAACAACGCACTAACCGCACGCTCATGGCCCAGCGCGTGACTTACAATCTCCCAGGTCCCAGGGAAAAAAGTCCCGCCAATCAAATGCGATCACGTATTCACGAAAATAAAAAAGTTAAAAGAGAAAGACCACTGTGACGGTGAGACCCATCTCGTGCCCCACCGCAGATATCAAAGCCCATTTACACCCAAATCTCTATACAGTAATATCACATGGACTGATGGATATGGTTCTCCTTGACATCCAATAGAATTTATGCTTTACTTTAATTATTTACTAGTACAACACCATGACATGGATGTTTGTTAAAAAATTATTTTTAAATTTTAAATTTTATTTACTTTTTTTACAAAAAATATATATTATTATATATTTTAGAATAACATTTATTACTTGTACGACTTATATGTGTTATATTATAGTAATTTTTATAATTTATATCATATAATTACTTAAAATATAAATATATTAATTAATAAATAATTTTATTTCTAATTAATATTAAAAAAAAAGTTTATTATTGTTATAAAAATAAATATAATTTATTTTTTTATACATACAATATGGATGTTAAATCGAAGTTAATCAAGAGATAATTAATTTGATATATTATATATGTAAAACTGATAAAAAATACAAAAGTTATTAACTTTTAAAATACATTTATAATTCAATGGTTATAATAAAAAATGATATTAAAATACAATTAATACATGTAACATGATCATAAATAATCAACATATTTATGAATAATCTGGACCTAATTATTTTTTGATTGGAAGTAAATTAAAATCTACCCAAGCCTAATAACGAAGCATGTAATTTTGCCACATAGGATCCCGAAGCATGCAAGTCTGCCACTTAAACTCAACACATTCTGAATTAATATATAGGGGGAGGAGATGTTGATATTAGAAAATAAGCAATTAGAATAGTAAGTAGACTTGTGAACCAACGACTAGATATGTACGAACCTCTAACGAATCGAACCGAGTTGAGTTAAGTTAAATTAACAAGCCGATCAACAGGCTTAAGCTCGAATCACTAACGAACATTAACAAGTCGAATTATGTTAAAAGTTGAGAAAATTACATAATAATTTCAATTTATCCAACCTTAAGGAGCTGAGCCGTTAGCTGAACGAGATCGAGCTCGACTTATATTATCAAATGAGTCGAGCCCACGAGCTAGCCATTCTATTTAACAATTTTAATAGTTGAGTTGTTGTTAACTATATCTCATAGTTAAACAGTTATATTTTTTTGACATACATGTGAACTTCCAAGTCGAAATATCACTTTAAAGGAAAAACATAAACAAAAGTGTAGTATTTAGTAAATTTCATAATATAAGTATATATGTTTTAATCAAAAGGTATGATTGTCAATCATTTAATAATTAAACTGTCTAATACAAAAATTTGTATAATATACAGTGTAACATTTTGGGTAATATTTAGATTAAAAAAAATTCACTAAATTGAGCTTTCCCAACAATTTAACTATAAATATTAAATTCCGAAGATTACGAGTCATAGGTCCATGGCCCAACCCGACAACCCAGTACGGGCCCAGCCCGTGCACACACCTTATATCATGATGTCCTCTCAGCATCACATATTCAATGCCAATTTTTCTTTCTCCTCTTTCCTCTCATCACTCTCTGCTAATTGAGGGGAGAATTTATGCGGGAAAATGGAGCTTACTCACAACAGTAACAATAACAACTCAATAATCGCGCCGTTTGTGATGAAAACTTACCAAATGGTAAACGACCCGTCGACAAATGGGCTAATTAGTTGGGGAAAGGCCAACAACAGCTTCGTCGTTCTCGACCCGCTCGAGTTCTCTCACCGGATTTTGCCGGCTTACTTCAAGCACCACAATTTCTCCAGCTTCGTGCGGCAGCTCAATACTTATGTGAGTACCTTTTTCTCTGAATTTTGGGGGTTTTGGTGTGTTTATTGATTTGATTGAGAGATTGAATTTGATTTTGAATTATTGGAATTGGATGCTTTTTAGTTTTTGCAGAGAACATCAGTTTTGCCTATCAAATTTTTTCTGGGTTAATTTTCTCCAAGTGATTTTCTTAATGCTAAATGGGTCTCTGTTTCCCTGTATAGTAGATTTCAGTTTCAATTTACCTTTTATGTGTAACTTAAGTAATGAAAATTTGTAGGAAGTAATTTTGGTGGAGAAATTATTGGATATTTTCTAATTATTTTGTGTGGAACTTCTGCACTTTTAGGGGTAAAAAAAAAGGAAAAAAAAAAAATTCTGCACTTTTAGTTTTTTTATGATAAAGCATCGATTATTACGTTTTAACTGTCTTTGAGCTAAGTCATGCTCTTCAATTTGATCATCAGAAAAGCAGGACAAAAGTTAAGGTTGCAAAAGTATTCTGTGATAGAAAAATAGGGTCCTTTATTAGAAAAAGGTGGAGAGCTTGGACTGAATTAATTTCATGTCATCTTAAAATTATTTTGCCTTTACTGAATGTAATTTTACCTTTTGTTTTTCTTTTTAAATAATATTGTAAAGCAAAAGGTATAGGGAGATGACTAGAGCTCTAAATGAGCCCAGTCGAGTTCGGGCTCATAATTTTCGAGCTTGAGTTTGAACTTGTATCAAACCGAATTTGTTAACTAATTGAGCTGATAAATGAATTTATCTCGCCTCGTTTATCAAATTTAAAGAGTCGAGTTAAAGTAATAGTTTAGAAAATTACGTAATTTTTATTTTTCTCGAGCCTAAGGAGAGTTCAAATGAGTCGATACAAATTTGAGTTCAGTTTAATTTACAATATTCATATAATTTTAAAAATTGTACGGATAATGTCAACTATTGTTTCAAAATATATAAATGTTGTCTTTGATATGATAAATATTAACTTAAATATAATATGGTCGTCTACCTAAAATTTGCATTTGTTCTTCAATTATTGTTTTACTTTAGGGATGATTGAATATACATTATTTTGGACTTGATTGGATTTAACCATAGTTAATTTTGAAAAAATTGATTGAGTTATATTTGAGTGGAATTTTAAATTTGTATGAAAATAATATATAAAATATAATGCCTAAAGTTGATTTGATGTAAAAATAAAGAGAATTGATTAAGGGGTGATTCGATATGAATTCAACTAGTAAAAAATAACTATAGTGAAATTTGAAAAAAGGTAGTATGCTTAGTTGTTAGTGGATATATCAAAATAATATTTAAATTAAAATAATTAAAGTTGATTAAATGTAAAAGTAGGAGAAAATGATTGAAAGTGATGGTTAGTTAAAATTATGTAAGTGGGTGAATAGTGAATTAAAGTTAATGTGATGTGTAATGATGATTGGTTGATATTATTTAATTATATTGATAATATTGGAGATACTGAAGTTGAGTTAAATTTGAGTTTTGAGTGGGATATTTACTGTACAAATTATATACAATCACGTCTTTAATAAAAATTATGTGAGTGAATGAATAGTGAATTGTAGTTGATGCATGTGCGGGAATACTTGATGATATTATTTAATTATTATTCTAATATTTAATTATATTGATAATATTGAGAAACGTTGAGTTGAGTTAAATTTAAGTTAGATTTTGAGTGAAAAAAATTATCAAAGTGACCAGATAATTTATAACCAATTAGCCTTAATAATTGAATTAAAATTTTGAAAAAGTGTAATTTGTGGATCTTGGTGACCATTTCTTTTATTATAATTGAATGAGTTCATGTTTATGGCCACGTACACGGTTCATAACATCACACCATATATATGAATAATGTGATGAAATACGTCATGTAACAGAGTGTTGATTTCCACTTTCAACTTGCATATTTATATTATTTTCGGGCCTTGCAGTTGGAAATTTGTTTCAATAATAGAGGCACATACTTATTATTTAATCCACTAAATGGTATTTAATTCCCAAGTTGTTATAACACACGTTCGCCAAGATATTTGTGTGCCCTGGGGAAAAATGTTGCATTTTGTTAGCAAAATATTGGTCTAGTGGAGTATATATTGGAAGATAATGTCGGCTATAATGTACAAAACTAAAATCTAAGAGTATACTAATAAAAAATTTATAATCACACCTTCAAGATTAACCAAACAAAAATTTTTGTGTGAGGGTTTAACATGTTGATCAGTCATACTTTTTGAATAAAAATATACACTTATAATGTACACTTATATTATTATTTTTTAATCATGTCAATTATGTATGAAAACATGCATATTTATTTTAAAAAGTATGAGTTCTCAATTATTAGGCTCGCCTAACAACAGTCATACTATTATCCTAATTACTATAGCTAATGTATGGTTATAATCAATTATCTACTAAATGAATATAACAAATGTATGATTATATAATGATTATTTAATATATATATGAATGTACGAACAGGTTCCACTATCGGTTAGCGGGAATTAGTTTCCAACCGGTTCTGACCGGTTGGGTCAATAAAAATAGTTTTTGGAGCATTCCAAAACAAACCCATGATCGGTTCACTGTCGAACCGTAAACATCGGTTGGTCCGGTCCTGTATTTAAATCATGGATAACAATTTTTTTTAAGTTAGTGCCACAATTTCTTGTAGGGGTTCAAGAAAGTTGACCCGGATAGATGGGAGTTCGCTAATGAATGGTTCCTACGTGGCCAAACACACTTGCTCCACAACATGTCCCGGAAAAAACATTCGCCCACCAAACACCATGTCTCGTCCCACCTTGCCACCCACGAGGACGAGGAAGACGACGAGCTCCTAGCCGAGATTGCCAAGCTAAAGCAAGAACAAACGAGCCTCGAGCGAGAGCTCGAGAGAATGAGCCAGCGGTTGGAGGCCACCGAGAGGCGGCCCCAACAAATGATGACTTTCTTGTGCAAGGTGGTCGAGGACCCTGAGATCCTTCCCCAAATCATGCTCGAGAAGGAGAGAATGAAGAAGAGTTTGACCTCAGGCAGAATTGACCACAAGAAGAGGAGGCTCGTGGGGTCCACGGACTCGTCGAGCTCATCGACTAGGAGCGAGGACGAAGGAGGGAAGTCGGTTTCGCCCGCAGACGGCAGTAACTATCGTTATCAGTCGTTGTCGCCAACAACAGTTGAGATATCGTCATCTGTGCCCGAGCAGTGGGGGTGTGGGCCCCCCCACTCGGGTTTGTTTGTGGTGGGGGAGGATAATGTCGGTGGGTATGGTGATGTGGACGACTTGCCGTGGCCGAGGCCGTTTGTCGGGGGGCCCACGATGGTTGAACCATCGGTGGGTGCGGAGGATGGTAGCGGATTCGTTCAGACGAGTCCGCTGCCGCCGTATCCTTTCTCGTTGTTGGGTGGTGGTTTTTAGTTTGTATTTATTTTATTCCATTAATGTTGTCTAATTTGGAATGTAACTAGCTAGGTAGACAATAATAGCTATTTTTAAGTTGTCTACTATGTGAAATTATGAATACGGTGGTGGACTTCTTCGGTGTGACTTTTGTATTTGATTCATATGTTGTAGATATTGGGTGGAAAGTAACAAGACACTTTGGTTAGATTCTGTTTCTGTTTTTTTATTAATCTTCACATAACTATAAGAGCATCTCCAATGCTCAACTTTCAACATTAATTAAATTTGAACACATGTCAATCAATGGATTAATGTTTAATCTACATGAACTGAATGTTAAAAGAATAGGACTTTCATTTGAATTGTTGCCTCCAATGCATCCATTCAACAACCATGCAATTTGTATATGTGGATTTATTCAATTATTAATAAAATCAAAGAGTATATTAAAAAAAAACCACAAATTCCAATAATTATATGCATGATGTTATTTTTTGTTGATGCAGTTAATTTTTATTTATATCATCAAATTTATAAAATTATTATTTATTCAATAATTTCTCAGTTACAATATGTATAACCACACAATAAATATTTTTTTCATTGGTTCAAAATAAAACAACAAAATATTAAAATTGCAATAACTCAACAAACAAATATCATGAACATAATATTTTACTTTTAAGGACATTATTATTGATAAATTTTTTAAATTTTAGTTGTAACTCATCAAATAATTATACTGTATTCAAATAAATTCTCAAATGTTTTATTGGATAAATGTAAGGGTGAGATTTTTCCAAGTTTATGAAAAGCTCAAAATTTGTGTCAAATAATTATCAAAATGATGAGTCATCATGTTAGAAAGAATGTGAGAAATTAGAAAGTGAGCTTGACAATGTTAACATTTATTTTTTACACATAAGCATTAAAGGACCCATAATCTAATGCATTGGAAGATATATTATTCACACACTTTCTATCTAGATTAGGTGGATAACTTTTTACCCTTTCAAAAGAATGCATTAAAGATGCTCTAACGAGTCTACAATCATCAAATGTCGACATTCATTGCAATGCTTTGGATAACCATGTAAGCTTTGCCTATGCCAACATCAAGGCAAAAATTCAATTTTAGCCCGCTAATTTGTCTATTGTCCACTTTTGGTATACTATCTTTCTTCTCATAAAAAAGGGTCCATTATGTTACATTTTTCATCAGTTTTAGTACACTAATCCCGTGGCTCGAGATTACGAGATGTTAATTCAGGTTTTTATCCTACCACATCAATATCTTATCCCTCCACGTAGTTCCAATCCTGGTCCACGTCATCTTGTAATCTCGCCAACTGGAGTAGCGTACTAAAACTGATGAAAAATGTAACATAATGGACCATTTTTGATTAGGGGAAAAATAGTATACTAAAAGTGGACAATGGACAAATTAGCGGACCAAATTTAGATTTTTGCCCCCAACATCAAGAAAAAAAAGCAATATGCAAACTACAAAGTTTTTCATGTCACAAAAGTTATTTCACTTATGTTGCTTTCAAATCAATTACTATGGATTCACAAAATAGTTAAAGAGGATCATGTTCGGTGTACAAACCCAATTCCACCAGACATGGACCCGGCACGGACCTATGCTCGTGTCGGGTCAGTGCCGGGTACGAGTCGGGTCGTCATTTTTTAAAGAAAAAAAATATAAAATATTATAAAAATAAAAAAAATAAAAAAAAGGGTCACCGGCCCGCCGGACTAGGGTCATGAAGGAATGACCCTGAAACGGCTCGTCGAAAATTCGGTCTGGGCTTAGACCCATAATCAACGGGTTTGACCGGGCTGGGTCGGGGGGACGCCCGGCCCGTGGTGGTGTAGATTATTATTATTATTATTATTATTATTATTATTATTATTATTATTANTCTTGAGGAATAAATTAAGAATCTAATATTATTTAAATCATCTCCGATCTTGGGGAATAAATTCAGCTTCTAGAAAGATCGGAGATGCAATTCCTCCAAGAAGTCATCTCCGATCAAATCAAATCAAAACCGTTTAATTTGGGGTCAAGTCATTTGACCTCTCAGTTAACGTTAGACAAATCAAGCTCCACACTAAGGAGATCCAACCGTCAAATCCAGCTTTGAAGATCCAAATTCAAGAAGAAGAGAAGAAGAATCAGAGGAGATAAATAGAAAATATACCCGCAATATCATTTGATCGAAATAAAATCAAGTTGTACAAAAGTTTTATGGTTATTCATAAAATTTATTGTCACAAATTTGGTACTCACAGTGAGACTCGAAATAAATTTACTGTTACAAATTTAGCACATCTAGTGCGACTCGAAATAAAATTTTTTGATTCAAATTTGACAAGTACAATGAGACTTAGAAATAAAATCTTGTTGAAGTCTAATCAATGATGTCGTATGATGTCATGAAAAATAGGAGGATACCTTCATTCTAATAATTAAATATGAATTTCTATGAAAAAAAATATCGATGTAGTTTTATATATTTAGCGTTTTTCCCAAAATATTTACGCGAAATTCTGAAATGACGCTCTTTTTTACGCCATTTTGCGTGATTTCACGCTATTGTGCGCTACATTGCAATATATTTCTGCAACGATATTTAAACAATAGAATATTTTAAAACTTGTATTTTTTAGGGATTAGATTCATATTTTCAAATGACAACTAAAAACTAATAATTTTGATAGATTTCAAATTTAAGTTTGAAAATGCAAAGTCCTAAGTTGAATAGTACAATATTTATCGGTCCATTTCTATTATATCATTTTATTTTTTGTTATTTGACATTTAAATAAAGAATAAAAAGTCCATATATAGTAGTACGAATTAAGTTGTAGTTAAATAAAAATAATAATTAAAATGAATATATTTAAAATTAAACTATGACTTACCTCATTATATTATTTTTGTTTGTTTTTACTTTTTAATATATTCACTTTATTATTTAAATATTTATATTTATATTTTATGATATATACACTAAACATTTTTGAGAAATAATTCTTAGATTTTTTGAATTCATTCAAATATTATGATAATTTTGGAATCAACCATTCAATTTTATTATATGCAAATATATTTATAATATTTCTATGAAAATAATTTTGTATACTCAAATAGCTTACGCAACACGCAACGCAATTTACGCTACGCGGTACAAAGACTAAAACGCGACGCGACGCATTACGTTATACGCGTTTTAAAACACTGATATTAACTCACCTCACTATCCTTATATTATCAATATAATTATATAATATCAATAAATCATTCTTATACATAACATCAACTTTACATTCACTATCACTCCCATAATTTTAACTAATCATCACTTCACATTATTTTTTTTATAGTTTTATATTAGATTAACTTTAACTATTTTATTTAAATATTTTAATATAAATTCAAAATCACACTAACAACTAAATATACTATTTTTTTTTTTTAAATAACTCTGTTTAACCAAAAAAGCTTCAAAGTTTTATATCCTCCCTGAGTTATTATGTCTCATCACTTGATTATTTTTTTGTAATTTCTAAATAGTTTTTAATTTGTTTATTGAAAATGGAAAGTCAAAAGTCGATAAGTCCTTGTGAGCCTGACCGCCTGACCTGATGAGGCGCAGCCAAACTGACCGCGTTAATATAACTTCAAAATTCCTTAATATATTTTCCCTCAAAATATGGATCTGGAAAAATAATAAGCCTTCGCTAAGAAGAAAATTCCCCACCCGCTTTATCATTTAATTTTAGTATCATACAAATCTCACCTTATAATTTCTCGCCATAAAGGCTAAAACAATAAAATTTAAAGAAAGAGCACACAAACTCAGGCAAGTCTATCTCTTTTGTCTTCTAACCAGTGCGAAGTAAATATATATTTAGAAAGAAAAAAAAACATTGGGATAAACACAACAGAAGAATGGGGAAAAAGCTGGATGCTTTGCTGAGGAGAAGTTTCAAGACCTCAAAATTCAAGGCCACGGTGGCTATGGCTGTTTCCCGGCTGGCCGTGCTCAGAAATCAGCGCCACGCTCGGTGCTCGATTGCCCGATCCGACGTCGTCGAGTTTCTTAAGAATAACAGCCATGAAAGAGCTCTTATCAGGGTAATTTCTCCTAATATACAATTATTCATCACGATTTTTGTTTTTAGTTTTTTTTATCATTTGTCTACAATTTAGCAGGTTATTTATATTAATTTGTAGGTAAAAAAAGTATTTGCTTTATTTGTATTTTACACAATAAATTTGGTCCCTAATAAGGGTGTAATTTGGAGTTTTGGAATAATTCCATAGGCAGACTAACTGTTAGGCGGTCTCCACACTTTCTTAACTACTGTGCATACTTATATCTATAGGATATGAAATTCGGTTTAAAAGTATGCACACTGTTACTTTTAATAGTTATATTGGAGCTCAAGGTGGTTCATGTAATTATTATTATTATTATTAAATGTTCATTGTTCATTTGCTTGTAAATTTGAATTCCTATATTTGTGGTGTTGATAATAGGTTGACCAGGTGATCAAGGAGCAGAACATGTTGGATGTGTTTGTTTTGGTGGAGGGCTATTGCCATCTGTTGATAGAAAGGGTCCACCTTTTTGAACAACAAAAGTTGGTTTTTTTTTTTTTGTTTTTTCTTTTTATTAATTCCTTTTTCTTATTTGTTAGCACACTTTTGATTTGTTGAGACAAGTTTGCATATGCTGAACTTTGTTTCTTCTAAGTCCATTTTTTGGTATGTAATTTTATTTATTTATTTATTTTCAAAATGAATGTAGAGTTTGCCCTGAAGAGTTGAAAGAAGCTGTATCAACTCTAATATATGTTGCCTCAAGATCTGGGGAGTTTCCGGAACTTCAACAGATTCGCTCGATTTTCACCTCACATTTCGGGAGGGAATTCGCTGCTAGGGCCGTCGAGCTACGCAATAACTGTGGGGTGAATCCTAAGGTATGTTTGCATCTCATCAAGAACTATGGTTTCTTTAGTTAAGAAACTTACTAATCTATCCGAACCGGAAAAAGAGTTTTTGAGTTTGGATTCGTACATGTTGCTATATTTGTTTCGTTTTCTTTTTTCGCCAGATTATACAAAAGCTGTCGACTAGGATGCCAAGCTTGGAGAGCAAAATGAAGGTTCTCAAGGAGATTGCTTCAGAAAACAACATTGATCTAGCAATCGAGGAGACTGCAGTGGAANATTGGAAGTTTTATCCATTGATTAATAAATACTAACCTCAAGGGATTGTTTGTAATTTCTTGAAGGGTGTTTATGCTTTCTATCTCTTTGAAAGATAAATTTATGACCAAACTTCATAAGTAGCTTTTCCTATATTTCCTTAGGCATGTGCATTTACAAGAACCAAATTATGAAGTGTAGATCCTTTTGGTGTACTTGGATACAAAAATTTTCGCTCAAAATGGATCTTTTTGGTTAACCAGGCTTAATTTGGAAAAAATGTGTCTGATTTAGTTGTTAGTGGGATTTTGAGTTTATATTAAAATAGTATATATTTAAAAAATAATACTGTAATCGTATCATGGTTTTACATGATGACGTCATTTTTGTACACGTGGCATTCATACAGCCCCCTGATATGATCTCGTCTCCTCATTATATGCTCGTAAATTCCAGGAATATATGGAATCGTCTCACGAAAAGACACACGTGTTGGGCCCATCGGCCCCGTTTGAATTTCCACATCAAGAAGAGAATCTCGAAGCACCAAACAACCTAGAATTAGGTCCAAGGAGAAAATACCGAGACGTGGCTGACGCAGCACAAGCAGCGTTTGAATCGGCGGCTTATGCCGCCGCTGCCGCCCGAGCCGCCGTCGAGCTGTCCCGTCCCGGGCCCTCCGAACCCAGCGGGCCCACGAAAACCGAACTCCAAAACATCGAGATTATTGACGAGACTAAGGAATCCGAAAACATCCTCCACACGAATGAAAATGCGGCGGCAGTTGATGGTGGTGATGGAGGGTTCGAAAGAGGTGATGTAAAGAGTTATAATACACAGTTTTGTATTGAGAAGGAAGAAAGAAGAGAGGCTTTGAGCATCAACAGGATGCCGATATCTGTGAGGACGAGAAGGGCACGATGAAGACGACAAGCATGTGTGTGTGCGGGCTCGTGGGCTTCGATCGAGTTGTGGTTTTACTTCAAATTTTGTATAATTATGTAGAAATCTGGTGTGTGTTATTTTTTTTTTTTAGCAAAATACATACTAATGTCTGTCCGACTATTAGGGAGAGCAGGTAGCCTTATTACAAACATAATATCAGTTAGGTTATATATGTACCTTCTTCAAGTTTGCTGAATTTGAAGTAGAGGCCAGTAATCTGTAGTCAATTAAAGACACAATTAAATATTACAACACAATCACCAAAAAATAGAAAATAAAAAATATCACATTTTTTTTTTACCAGGCCACATTTTTTTGTTTTATATGATAAACTTAGCATCACGGTCAGCTAGGTTTATATATACATACATATATACTCCGTCAAAACATATTAATTATTGCACAAACATTTGAAAGGAAGCTACCTAAATTTCATTGTAATTTCCCAGAAAACTTAAATATTGACTTTAGCTCCAGATTTTTCAGTATAAATAGCAGCTTACATGACAATAATTTATGTACTAAATATGAGTGGAAATAAAGCTATGGATCATACAGAGGGCCAATGGACTACTGGGCTCTATGATTGCTGTGAAGATCGTTCTCTTTGTAAGTCCATCAATAATTAGTCATTTATTTTGTCTCAGTATATATATATATATATATTTTATTATTGTTGTATTTATTTATTATTTTGTTATATTGGCTTATTTATTTATTGTTCTTTTTCTATGTGGTACTTTGAAGGTCTGAAGACTTGCTGCTGTCCATGCATAATTACCGGTCAAATTGTGGAGATAATTGATAGAGGGGCTACGTGTAAATTTTTACTTGACTTAATTCATCTATGGTTGACCTATTTTTTATCGAACAACACAAATTTATTCGCATAAAGTAGTGATGCAAAATGAAATAGAAATTTATTTTTCTTTACAAAGAAAAAGAAGATATACCTGTAATGGTAGGAAAATTGAAGAAGAAAAAAAAGAAGTTTTCTCAGTACGTACACTTTTACATTTTATTTTTAGAGCTGACGCATAAATATATAAATTACATATCAAAAGTTAACTATAAATTTACTTATCGGCATTTAGTTGTTTCCTCATAAATTGATCATTAGAAGACAGAGATATCTATTTTTTAATATTTTTATTGCTCAACTAATCAAGTATACTTCAACACAAATTATATTTAAAAAATCATCTTCAAGAAGAATTATTGGACCATGCGTATTAAATAGCCCAGCCCATTGACCTTATTGATTGGGCTGTATTGTTTAACAATACGTCACAATATAGCACTTGACTATCCCCCGGGACTGTAATATTTTCCAGTATTATTTTATTTTAATTTATTTTTGTTCCCTCTTATATGCTTTCTGGCCCTTTCAGCCAGTGGAACTGCTGCTTGTATATTCGCTGCACTAAAATCGGTCCACTGCGCCTGGTTGTACACGAGCAATTACCGCGCACAATTAAGGGCACTTTATAAATTGCCAGAGGCTCCTTGTGGAGATACTGTGATCCACTGTTGCTGTTGCATATGCGCCACGAGCCAGGAGTATAGAGAACTCAAGAATCGTGGCGTTGATCCTTCCATAGGTAATAAATCTATAATGTTTCTAAATTTAGAACCAAAAGCCTAGAAAATGAAGTATTTATGTATTAAAAATGAGTTTTCTTTTTTAAAAAAAAAAATTTACGAAACGATAATATTATAAAATTAATTAAAACCAGTATGGAATAATATTATGTATTATATACTGATAAAAAAGAGTTATATTGTGCAGGTTGGGAAGGAAATGTTGACAAGTGGAAACAAGAAGGTGCGGTGGTGCCCCCATTTTTTCCATCCAATATGGCTCGTTGACGCTTTTAATTTTTATTTTATTTTACAGGATTTGTTTATCTCTCTTTTTTATTATTATTTTTTTAGGATTTGATTGGCTTTGGTTATGGGATTGGTTTACTACTTGTGTGTTCTTGTAAGATGGGAAAAATAATAAATTATATGTTGAAAAATTGAAATGTATTTTTTGCCTCTTTTTTATCAGTAGATATTTTTGACAAGACATTAGTAGCATACTAGCATTACAAAGATCGATCCTCTTATTGGCATTATTAGTACGTACCCGTGCTAATAAGAATAAATCGCATTAAATTAAAATAATGAAAAATATTAATTAGCATAAATATAATTTAAATTTTAATATTTTTTTATATGATAGATAATAGTTAATATATGATTTTACATGTTCATTTCATATGTTATACAATAGTTTTACTTACAGTTTCTGTTCGGAATTAAAGAACGTCAAAATTAAACATGTTCAAATACTATAAATAAATAATGCTAAAAAAATACTTCATTGTCTCTTCTCTTACTCAAGCATTATTACAATTTATTATTTTGATTCCCAAATAAGTGATGGTAAAGTTGAAAAATTGTATAAACCAGTTAATTTAAAAAGAATGTAGAATATATTATTTTAAATATAAGAAATATTAATTTTAAATTATGTCAAAATTAATTTATTTTATTTTTATAATTTACAATAATGTATATTATAAATATCTTGAATTTATTTTCAATCTAATAATTCATATGACAGTCCGACACCAGTTGATTTATACTTTTTGCTATAAATGGTTTACGAAAATTGCACTGGGCTTTTATGAACTTAAATGCTCAATTATTATAAAAGAGCTAAAATTAAAAATACTTATCGAACAAAAAGATGAGATGATAATAAGTCTCTTTGCCCAAGATGAATACGTCTCTCGCAGTATTTTCCAATTTACGTGTATCGTCCCTAAAGATACAACATCCTTGGACTCTGTAGCATTAAAAAAACTAACGCTTTGACGAAGTTGAAAAGCTTAGAGCATAACATAATCGGTAGAAGCCTTGTTTACCTCTTGATCTTCTGTGGTATTCCTTTACCAAGTTCGGACGTCATTGGGCAACGATCTACTAAACCTTTTTTGGTTGTCCACCGATCGATTGTCTACAAGAGAAAGAAGAAGACTTTCCGTGTGGTGCAAGTTTTTTTAATGAGAACGAGAGTTTCAGAGTTCAATTTAGGTATATTTATATGCTAAAACAGGGATATTGAGAAAGTATTAGAGTTAGGTCTTCTTATAACAGTAGATGTACCAAGTTTGGGCCAAACTATACACCTTAGTTCATCGATAGTAACTCAGTGCACTTAAGAGCTACTATTGCGTATTATTTTTCATAAACCCAAATTACGTATAGGCTTCATTTACTATTTGCACGTTTATTTACTCATGTGTAAGATTTCGAATGTCGATTAGCTAAATATATCACTGAATATTTAATTAATTAGCATTTTTATTCTGAAATTACTAACACTCAACTTTATTAGTATCCGAAATAAAATCCATTTGCACGCTTTACATAGTTATCCTTATGAGCTCATGTTAGGAATATCATCAACCCGACACATTAAAACAGAAATTCATTCTATAATCAACAACCCACCATATTGACAATACCATTTCTCAATTGAGTTAATAAATAAATTCCCCGTTTTGATGAATTAAAGGAGTACATGTCTAATATACATGCACATTATTATTATATCCGAATCAAGAGGACGAACAACTATAACAACTGAGGTTTAGGTCTTTTATTAAATCGGTACAAATTTAATTTTACTCTGCGATCATTTTCAATACACACAAAGTCTACTAATATAATTCAATAGTTAAGACAAACTAATTTCATATTATACTTAAACCATTGAAAATAGACTGTTCATTGCTATCTCAGTTTGGACCTTATTTATACTTTATAAAGAATTAATAATATAATCTTCTGTGTGATACTACAGATTATGTAAAAAATGATGTGCAACCATATATAAGCCTTTGATTAATCACGATTCTCATATAAAATGAAAATAAAGTTTAAACAAAGTAAAACTGTTAGTGAACCCAAAGATCCAAAGGTAACATTACTCCAGGTCGTCTACAGTCACTTAAGTCAAGCACATATTCCAATTGTCAAGGACCAAGGCTAAGGCTAAGGCCAAGGCATAATCCAAGTCGAGCCGGCGTGCACATGCGTGTGGCAGAAGGTAGCACCTACACTTAGTCCTTATTTGCTTTCTAGGATAAGGCAGGATATTCCGCCTTATCCTGCCTTAAATCCCATGTTTGGTTGCTAGGATCCGGCCCTAGATAGATTGCTTGGACCGGGATTAAAATTGCTTTTATCCCATGACAGTGGGATGCATTTGCGGAACCCGTACTCTTCTCCGACCTCAACGCTTGGGATCCGGATCTCGCGGCGGCTCCACCGTCCGGCAGCAGCGCGAGGTGGGAGAGGGAGAAGGAGCACATGAGGGCCTTCGCGCTACGGCTTTGGTGGCAGATGAAGGGGGCGGTGCATCCATCTCGGCCGGCGGCGTTGGTGAAATCGTCGGGGAAGAAGCGGCTCTGGACGTCCTTGAAGGAAGAGCACGAGAATTTCAGGGCGGCGGCGACGGCGTTGTTTTTGACCTTTGCTCTAGTTTTGGATACCCTCA